ATAATCAAACTATACAAAAGAAAAGGAATTAATCTGTACTCAGCACAAAAGGGAATAGAGAAATCTTCTATAATGACTTGAATGATAGAAAGAGGAGTTGCATGCTAATTTGGACGAAAAACACCATCTAAAAGCTAAAAAAGAAAATGATACTTGACTTTTCTTTTCTTTTCCTTTTTCAATGAAACACCATTGTTAATGTGAAAATATTATAAAAAATAATTGTAAGAGGTATACACCATCAGGAAAACACGGAAGTACTCCACTTCCTGAGCTAATTATCCTCCCAAAAGATATTTGGTCCTTCCTAATCAAAACTACCACATTGAATCTTCTGAGGACATTTTTCCACAAAATTTAAGACTTCCAAATGATATTGTGGGTGATTTTTAGTAATTGAATAAGAAATCTTGGATGCCGACGCATCAGGAAGAGACAGTTGATTTTATAAAAAAAAATGATGGGAAACAAAACTTTTCATTGAGACACAGTTGATTTTTAAAAAATGATTGCAACTATTTCTAGAAAAGTTAGTCATCGGTTTAAATACAAGATACATACATTTTATCGGGTGCATATTTGTGTTTATAGGMTAACCATTTATTTAGAAATCAACAAACATGTTCTAAAGGAACCTCCCCTTGGAGATGTTACAAATTCACTCATGGTTTAACTGACTCTGATATGAGGAAGAAATTATAATACAATAATACTTATGCAAGAGATTTCAAATACTATGGACATCATTACAAGGTCAAAAAATAAACATAAACACGCCAAGTGACAAAATATATTGACACAATCAGCATACATAAACTCAGCTTACATACACCAAGTATTTGAATTATCAAAGTAGCCAAATAGCTCAAGAAGAGACCTAACCTTGATCCATCCAGGCATAAGCTTAATGATCCTGAAGACAGCGCATCAACTGCCTGAATTGCATACCTTGGTATATAATCATTTGAATCAATTGATATCAATAACTTTTTCCAGCAAAATAGCAGAGGAGGATTCATCCTCCAACTTGATACATTAAAAGAGAAGTCACTTCCCTTTTTGTGTCCTTGAGATTCAAGCTCGTCAACATTATTAATATCAATCAAAATAGATGCTAAAGCAGTTCGCCCTTCACTACAAGATCCCAAGGTCCTGAATGCTGCAAGACAAGCAACTAATTCTTTTCCAACAGGCAGGACCTGAGAATCAAGAAATGCTAGTTAATCAAAAAAGCAAGTAGGAAACTACGTTCTTCTACATGAGGTAGCTTTTGAAAGAACGAGAAGACAGGGGAAATCAATCAACTAGAAGCTCCTTATCAAAGATGAAATTCAGGTTCAAAAAATAAAAAAGAAGCTATTTATCAAAGATGAAATTCACGTTCAAAACTGAAAGCTCACATCTAACCTGATAAGATTTAATCTGCCCTACAACCAAGAAAAACGAGATCGGGAGACAATACTCCAAAATTCTTATAAGATGAAAAACCATTTTGTTGATAATTTGATATCTGGAATATATTATAAAATATACAAACAAACTGAGACTTTACAAAGAAGACCATTTTATCAAAAAAAAAAAAGGACCTTCAATTTCCAGTACATATCATCAAAGGTGTCTTTCTCTCGTCCCATAGCTCCATAAAATAGGACTGAAATTGCTATTCTTGATGATATTAGCTATACCTTATAATATTTTAAGTCCATGCACACAAAAATAAATAAATAAGAAGATAATATTTCAAATTTTCAAGAAAAATCATAAGGAATATAACAAAACCTTTGAAATTTGCCAAATAAATCCGGAACGTGAAAGAATTTTTCCTTCTTGATTTTAACCCAATAGTTCAACCCTCCAATAATAGCAGGATACTTGGTATTTAGAAAAAAAAAAACTCGTAATTTTTAATAGAACAATTTGACAGTTTACACTGAAAATTTATAAGCCTTAGCCTTGGTTGTGTACAAGGACATTTTACCATTTAATAGCAATTATGAGCATAAAAACAGGTCATTGCTACGAATGAATTCATTATAATTTTTAAGTTTCAACTCAGAAGCTGTCRTCATGAACAAGAAGTCTATGACCAAATCACTTCAGAAAGGGACAAGAATCTACCTGACAGAACTGTAGAATACAACATAGAATCAACGAATAATCTTCTGCGCTTAATAAGCCAAAGTGGTGCCTAGCACAAATTAAAATTTGCATACACATTATTGTGAATTTTCTTAAGGAAGAAGTAAAATAAATAACGTGTAAATAATTTACTTACAGATTGTGTTTTCCAATGTGCTTAAGAGATGGCCTAGAGTAGCAAAGTAACGAAAAGGACTTGAAAACAGGGAGGCACCAGTTGAGTATAGAAAACCCACATTTAGTAGAGAATCTGGACCCGGGAACCAGCTTTTCGTCTGAATCTAAGTCATCCAAACATCTATGTGATACTTCAATTAGCAACTGGATAGCATCCTCATTCAACAATAGCGCCTGAAAAAGAATTAGTATAACGTAAGAAAATCTGTACCTGATATTTAAATCTTTGTGTTTTGAAGGATCGGGAAAGTTTCACTACTTAGGAAAACTGAAGTACCTTGGCATGAGGATGCTCCAATAAGCTGGCAAAAAAATCAAGATACCTACATATCTGCAAAGGAAATGACACAAGGCCACAGAATTAACAGGATGAACCATAAGACACTTGACGAACAGGGGTACAAAAATAAAATCATTAGAGGTAAAACATTTTAATCCATAAACCAAACAAGACTGGAAGAAGTTAATAGTCCTTATCCTCTTATACAACGGTGAAGTGAGTGAGCGCACAATTATAATCTTTAGGATCTTTCTTTATCTTCTATCTTTATTTCTTTCTTTCTTTCTTTCTTCTTTCCTTTTTTTTTAATAGGAAAAAAGTTCATCCATGGAAGAAATCATTACAAGGGGGATGACAACTCCTCCAATCCAAAATTTCCAACGATCAATCCAGTTTTATCCAAGTAATCAAATGAATGCTAATGCAAGATGCCAAATGGTGAATAATGAAATCAGTAGAGGAGAGAAAAAAGGGCAACCACACCAACTTAACATTCTTCAATGCTCAGTTAATGCTCTCATATCAGAACAGCATAAATCAACAGTGTGATCCTATATCAGAAGTAATCTAAATGAATTATTAAAAAAAAATCTAAATAAATTCTAATAAGAATCAAATCCAAAGAATTCCCCAATCTTATCTTCACTATGTTCCCTACATAGTCCAAACTATCGATGGCTTTCAATAATCATCCAAATAAACTACATGGATTGAATCCCCCAAACATGCACCAAAATTGTGCGAYGATTACTTTTTCTGAATACACAAACACAAAAAAAGTATATAAAAAAAATAAGATATGGTCACATAAAGGAAATACAAAGAAAAAATATTGCATAAAAAAAGAATTAGTCATGGTCCTTTTTTAGGGTAAAATACACTTTTGGTCCATGACATTTCGAAAGAGGCAACTTTAGTCCACATAGTTTGTGTTCTAAATGGTCCCAAGACCATTAGTTGACTAACAGAAGATGAATTGGCTGTTAACTTGCTGACAAGTTTTGGTGACATGGATTCTTTAATGAGTTGGCAAGTTTTATCTTTTTGGCTTATGTGACATTTCTCTTCCTTTCTTTACCAACCCTTATCCTTCCTCTACTTCCTTCTTTTCTCCTTCCTCTCCGAAGAGCCCAGTGCCAGCCATTGCAGTCCTCCTTTCTCTGTCTTGCCGACGCTGCATCCCTTCCTTCCCTGCCATGCTGATTCTCGCTCTTTCCTTCTTCTTTCTTTTTTTTTCCACTTTCATTCCCCTTTCTTTTTTCCTCCCTACAACGAGAACCCACCGCCACTCTCCTACTTGCCATCGTGCCGAGTATTGACACTTTCCTTGGTCACCAAAGATTGTCATCATCTGCCACCCTCGTCCAGATCATGGAATGAGTGCCGTCATTCCAAATCTGGAAATATGGTGGGGTTCCAGGTTTGGAATGAAGAGCCTCGTTCCAAATTTGGATGATGGCAACAGCTGTCTATGGGCGACACGATGTCAAGACGACGACCTTCGCCAACCTAGGACAATGGTGGKGGGCTCTCGCTAAAGGAGGAAAAGAGAAGGGAAATTATTGGAAAAAGAATAAAAAGAGAAGGAAAGAGGGAGAATCAGCACCATGAGGAAGGAGGGAAGCAGCAGTCGGAAAAGGAAGGAGAAGGAAAAAAAAGGAAAGAGAGAAGGGAGAAGGAAAACTTAGACAAACTTGTTAACTCATTAAAAATCAGTATCGGCAATCTAGTCTGCAAGTACCTGTTAATTCATCTTCTATTAGTCAAATAAGAAGCATTTTTTCAAACCTTAAAGTGTTTCTTTTGAACTTCAAGGAAGGTGCCCTCTTTGCAAGCAACACAGTGAGTCCATCGGACACGTATTCCTCACATGCCCCTACACAGCAGCTCTTTGGAACAAACTCTTACCCCTCTTTGGATGGTCGGCTGCCCTCCCCACCGATATGTCTACAGTGAGTCCATCGGACACGTATTCCTCACATGCCCCTACACAGCAGCTCTCTGGAACAAACTCTTACCCCTCTTTGGATGGTCGGCTGCCCTCCCCACCGATATGTCTCACTTGCTTGCTTTGACTCTTGTGGGTCACCCATTCAAGAAAGAAAAAGCTAGCCTATGGATCCACTTCATTCGGGCTCTTCTTTGGACTAATGAACGGAACCGTCGAATCTTCCAAGCTTTGGAGTGCTCACCACATGCGACTTTTGAATCCATTGTTTTTTTGGTCATTACTTGTTGTAAACCCCTCTTTCACTCGTACAGCTTCACCTCCTTGTTAACAAATTGGAGAGCGTTTTTGTAACCCGCCTGTGGGTCCTCTTTCTTTTTCGTAATCTTCCATCCTTTTTTCATTATATCAATGAAATCGTTTCGTTTCCCAAAAAACAAGCACCAAAAAGACACCAAAGTCAAACCTCAAAGGACCAAAAGTATATTCCACCTTTTTATTGAATATTTTTCAGCTTTAAAAAAATTAAATAATGTTCATGAATACAGTATGAGAATGTCAATAACATATAGCAAAATTATGTACCGCTTATAGAAAAAAACTCAAAGAAATTTAAAATCAAAGATGTCTGTCATCACAAGCCTGACCCGACTAAGTCCAATTTGTTGACATTTTTTATTTTTTTTTATAAGAAACACCAAAGCACTTTTATATAAGAAGAAGCATGATACAAAAAACAGCTTATGGTTGGGGGAAGAGATATCCCCCTCCCAAAAGCTAGTGAAGAATAGCTCTCCAATCTTGAAGTAACAATGGGAGGCTACAAAAGAATTTTCTATGCCTATAGCACCACCAAGAATAGTGTAATTGAATCGTATTAYAAAAAGTTTCAAAAGTAGAAGACTTCTCCTCAAAGATTATGTTGTTTCTTTCCACCCAAATATTCCATAGAAGAGCTCTAGCGGCACAATTCCAGAAAATCTTTGCTTTCCTCTTAAGCTGCCACCCTCGCAGGACTTCATGTAGCCAACCATCGATATTCTTGGGCAACCAAAAGGAGAGACCGAAGATTTGGAATAGAAAAGACCACCCGTTCTTTGCAAACTAGCAATGAATGAAAATATGATCCATAGACTCTTCATTTTGAYTACACATAACACAGAGAGAAGGAGAAAGGTCCCAGTTTGGACATCTTTTCTGGAGCCTCAATGATGTATTAACAGCCCTCTTTTCTAAGGTTCAAAGGAAGACTTTTAACTTTCTTTGGAATAGAGTATTTCCATAAAAGAGAGATTAAGGGCGGGTTCAAAGAAGGAGCATCTTCAAACATGATTTTTAGGGCCGATTTAACTGTAAAGCCTCCGGATGATTCAAGAACCAAACCACCTTGTCAACTCCCTCTCGCAGCCGAATGGTATCCAATATGCTCATAAGATCAACCCAACTTTCAATTTCTCTGTCAAGCAGACCCCTTCTTATGGCAAGGTCCCAAACTAGCTGGTCATCTTTCCAACAATCAAATACTGTAGCCTCCTTTTTAGCGACAAAGCAAAAATATCGGGGGAAGTCTTGAGCGAGCGTGGAATTCCCTGTCCATCTATCCAACCAGAAGCGGACTCTGTTACCGTGATTAGCTTTGAAAGAGAGAAACTTGAGGAAAAGAATGTTTTTTTTTGCTATTTCAAACCAGGGTTTGCCAAATGCTCTTCCTTTGGGCTTTTTGGACAACCACCCGTGAGGTTCTGTCCTCTCCTCCTYAGGGCTTCTTCCTCCTGACTCCTGAGTAAACCTCCAAAGCCATTTTTGAAGCAAAGCATTGTTCTGAAGGTGGAAAGCCCCAATGCCAAGCCCTCCCTTTTTCAAGGACAGAGAAGTGGTGTCCCAATTTACTAAATTCCTGTGGGGAAGAGATTTACCTCCATTCCAGAAGAAATCTCTAACCAACTTGTCTAGCTCTTTCGCAACCCCTATGGGGGCTTTCAAAAGGGATAAGTAATAAATAGGCATACTATTCAAAATCGATTGGGCTAAAGTCAATCTTCCTCCTTCGGAGAGAACAATCTTTTGCCATTTTCCAAGCTTTGGTTTCAGCTTCTCAACCACTGGCCGCCAAAGGGCTACAGATTTGAAGTTACCCCCAAGAGGTAAACCAAGATGAGAGAAAGGAAGTTCTTCCACTCTACAACCCAGTCTCGAAGCTTTAGGAATTAATCTATCAGCCCAGACATTTATGTCTATAAGGGAGGTCTTGTTCAGGTCTAATGAGAGGCTAGAAGCTCTTAAAAACAAGTTTATCACAACCCAGCATTTAAATAAGTAACCATTCTCATCTAGACAGAACAAAATGGTGTCATCGGCATATTTCAAATGAGAGATCAAAACCTTCTTTTCCCCACCTCAAAGCCCTTTATCATTCGCTTCTCACAACAAAGATGAACCAAACGGCTAAAAGAGTCACCAACAAGAGTGAAAAGGAAAGGAAAGAGGGGGTCTCCTCGTCTTAGACCTCTTGTCACCTTGATTTTGCCCCTTGGCCTTCCATTAACAATAATCGAGAAGTTTGCTGAGGACAAACAGCCCCTGATCCACATTCTCCAACGCTGCCCAGAGCCTTTTTCTCCAGAACTACATCTATAAAATCCCAATCTACTTTGTCATAAGCTTTCTCGTAGTCAAGTTTGAGAAGAAAACCTGATTTATTTGAAGACTACCAGTCACCCACCATCTCAGCAATAACTAAAATGACATCCAAAATCTGCCTTCCTTCCACAAAGGCTGCTCGGGCGTCTGCTATGATGGAAGGTAGGACCTTTTTGAGTCTGTCGGCCAAGACCTTAGCAATAATCTTGTACAAAGAGGAAATCAGACTTATGGGGCGATAGTCACCAACTCTGTTCGCTTGAAGTTTCTTCGGTATCAAACATACATAAGTCTCATTAGTGCGCGCATTAATGATTCCATTCCTAGAAAATTCTTGTAACACCTTAAGCAAGTCAAGCTTCAAAATGTTCCAAGCTTTTTTATATAACTCTGCTGTCATTCCATCCGGGCCTGGGGACTTCAAATTTCCCAAGCTCTTGACTGCCCTATAAATTTATTGCTCCGTGAAGGGAGATTCAAGCCAAACTTGCCAATGGGAACTTGGGGGGACCAATCTAAGTCTTCAAAAATAAATCTCTGACCTTCTGCCATGGAATACAGATTTGTAAAGAAATCAAGGATTTCCTTTTCAATTTCCCTGTCTGATGAAAGAATCTGCCCATTACAATCAACATGAGAGCGAATGGCAGCTTTGTTCCTTTTTCCCGACACCCATTTATGGAAAAAATGGGAGTTTTCATCAACCTCCTTTAGCCACTGAAGTTTGAAGTTTGCATTTTTGGGCCCACGATTGTTGCTMCTTTAAGGTTAACTCCAGAAGGTCAACTTTAAGCGAAAAAMGCAGGGGGAACGGGAAGGGTTTAAAAACCCCCTTTCCTCCTCTTTGTCAATCTCATCAATCTGATCAAGAATGCTTTATTTAAAAGAGCCACATTCCCAAACTCTTCTTTGTTCCATTGGATAAGAAACTTCCTCAGACCTCTCGACTTTTCCATAAAGTCATACCCTGGCCATCCATTTGAAGGCAAAGAAGTCCACCACCCTTCTACTTTCTCTATAAAATTAGGGTGGTCTAAACACATGTTCTCAAAATGTTCTCAAAACGAAAGGGAGAAGGACCCAATTTTTGAAGGCCTAAATTCAGTTGAAGGGGGTAATGGTCCGAAGTGGATCGCGTTTGTCTGTACAAGGTTGACTCTTTAAAATGCTGAAACCATCTTTGAGCAAGGAAGAATCTGTCAATTCTGGTTGCAGTTGGAAATTCTCTTAAGTCTAACCATGTGAAAGAGCCATTCTTCAAAGGGACTTCTTCCAAAGTGCTCTCCTCTATGAAATCATTAAAGTCTCTCATACTTCTGGTAACTCTATCCTCTCTCGACTTTTATGTAGGATTTCTAACTACGTTAAAATCACCTCCAATACACCAATCTTCATTGCATAAACCAGCTAAGTCCCTTAACTCTTGCCAAAAAAGACCTCTCCCCACAGTAGAGGAAGGGCCATAGACAATAGAGATCCAACCTTGGAAACCATCTACAAATCTGAACAGAACCGAGACTGAAAACATACCCAAGACARAATCTTCTACAACAATGCTATCCTCATTCCACACAGTGTTGTTGAGGCGCACCCGGGCGCTCGCCTCAGGCGAGAGGCGAGGCGATTTCGCCCAGGTGCGCCTTGCAAGGTGCCCAGGCGAGCGCCTTCAATCGGGAGCTCGCCTCGGTGCACCTTTGTGCGCCTCTCGCCTGAGGCCAGGCGATCGCCTCGTTGAAGCGAGGCGATCTGCCTTATTTATTTTATTTTATTTTAATTTTTAATGTGTTTTTTTTAAAAGAACCTTTCTCCCTCGCGAAATACCTCAGTCCACAGACCCTAACCATTCTCTCTGCCTCTCAACATTCACCTTCACCACCCTCAATCTTCGGCCATCGCCCACTCCCGTCTCCGATCATCACCGTCGCCGCTCCCGTCTCTGACTAAACTTATTGCATTTGGTTGTTTTATGTATCTTGTTGACATTTACTATGACACTATTTTGGTATTTATTTTTTAAACTATGTTTACTATATAAATTTATGCACTATATATATAATTTTTATTTATTTATTAAGGTGCGCCTCGCTTCACTCGGGCGTCGCCTTTGTATCGCCTCTCGCCTCAAGGCGATCAAAGGGCTTATCGGCTTGAGGTGCGCCTTGCGCCTCGAAAACACTGATTCCACATCACTAAGACACCGCCGGAAGTGCAACCTTTTACCAATTTGTTAACCTTTTACCATCTATGATCTATCAAAACCTAATGTTTTCACTATACTATTCTGTGTCGCATCCATATAGCTCATTTTGGATGCTCATTTTGGTCCACAATGTGTTTGAACATGTTTGAAAATGCGAGACTGTGCATTGTATATGAATTTCTATGTATGTGTATCTACGATACTACATATATGTATAGATTTATGTATTAAACATGTGTGCATCCTAACAATCTCGTTCCAGTATATAACATGTGTCTAACAAGTGCTGTAATGTCCAGTATATGTTAATTGTTAAACACAAGTATATTACCCAAACTAAAGTGGAATCTAAATACAAAGATAAAGGGCTTTAAAACTATCATGGGAATATAAAAGTTTTACTTTGTAAGCATCCATGTCTGAAAGAGAAGACAAGTCAGAAACACGAGCACGTGTCCACAATAATATTGGTCGCAGAAGAATAGAAGCGCTGTCAGCTTTTTGACAACAAAGGCGAATTATAAATATCCGAAGCATGTCTTGGATGACAACCAATGTCTGTCAACATCAAACATAAGTAATAGTCAAGACAAAATTTTCACAACACGTAAGCAATAAATAAATGCACTCAAAGTAGCAAACAGACCACTCACCGAAATGGCATAATGTTGGACAACTTGGGAAATCTTTTCAAGCTGTTGCAATAGTTGACCTGACAGTTTCTCTTGGTGACCAGGCTCCAAATACCAATTGACGTCATTCTCAATTTGAGGCCCCAATATTGTCCTGATACCAAGTTTTTTAACGGCACTCAACAGAGGCATACCATTCTTCCAAAGCCAGATTCCTTCATCAGGAAATAAATCATTCTAGCACCATAACAAGGATAGATAAAGGGTGAGGACAAATTAAAGCTGCAAATGGCAATTCAAATAATTGATGCCAAATAAAATTTCCTTCTTGCATAAAAAAAATTAAATCCACTAAAAGGGTGAAACAGAAATAACCGAGGGATACAAATCTTTACGTTACAAGTTCATACTTCATAGTGAAACTTAAAACAAAAAGTCTATCGAACCAGCCTATTCATCACGATCATATCCAAAGACAGAGAGAATTACAGCAAAGAGCTTTAGCCTTTACTTTTTCCTCTGAATGTCACTTGTTTATAATTGATGATGAAACTTGATTCAAATTCAATTATTATAATTTAATAAGTTACGGTACTTGTAGTTTCTCCCTTTTACCCTATCTTCTAAATTTAAAACTTTTTGTATTCTAAAATCCTTGGGAGAATTTTAGGAAGGGGCGAACTTGAAGGGTCTTGTAACTCATTAGGTGGAATCTTACACCTCTTCTTTTCAATAAAATAATTTGGAGGTGATTTAATTTTGTTGCATTCTTTGTAAGAGTCAATGATTCAGAATAAAGTGGGGCTTCCACAGTTGTTACTGACTGTGCAGAGAAGTCTCTGTGTGGTCATTTTTTCAAGGGAAGAAGAAAGTGTTGTGAATTAGTGCTATCAAAGCTATTATTTAGGATCTCTATTTTTAAATAAGCCAGAGAATTCATTTTCAACAAGAGGAGCAGGTCGGAGATGGTTTGGGCCCTTGCAATATCCTAGCCTATTCTGGTTGCACTCTATCTAATTTTTTGTAATCACTCCTTAATACTAGTCGTTGCAGGTTTTTATAAGTTCCTCCTTTAAGGGACCTTTCTGTAAACATTTTTCACAGACTCTAGTTCCTATAAAAAAATAGAAAACAAGACGGTGCAAGCTGCAGGTTTCTTTTKGAAAACACCTAACTGGTTACAAAGAAAGCTGCACTCCACCATATTGATATTTGACCAGCATCTTAATTGTTATTTCAATGGAAAACAAGACATTCTTTAGGAGTCTGGGGCTTAATTACCAGCAGACAGAGCAAGCTGCAGGTTTCTTTTGGACCCAAAGCCTGTAAAGAGGTAGCTTGGGCACTATTAAGGAGTGAGCTGAAAAGGCCAGGAGTCCAGCCATAAACAGGCCAACAAGCAAGTACGGACACCAGAAGATGGCAGACAGCTCCAAAACCAAGTGCAGAATTGGGAAACGGTGAGGATAAATCAAATGCACCAGCAGCTAGTTTTGGACTGCATTCACACAAATGGTCAATCATGAGTGGAAAACTTGAGCTCTTTTTTTTTAACAAGAAACAAACTTTTCATTGAAATAAAAAGGAACAGTAATTGTTCAAATTTACAAACCCCGRAGGGAAAACTTGAGCTGTCTTGTGACAAGAAGTTCTTTCATACCTCACTTCTCGATGCAATCTTACAAGAGCATTCATTAGTTTTGAATTCCTATGCTCCTCTTTAGCAACCTACAKATATTAACAAAATAAAAAATAAATTCTAATGACACAGAACAAACAGTGTGGAGTAACAAAGCATTAAATGATATGTGCATCAGAACCATCAATCCCTTCCAAAATATTGATTAGTCAAATAACTAAAAATACACTCTATGGTGTTTGGCCAGGGAGGGTCTTTAAAGAGATTGTCGTCTGATAGCTATTCCAGATATGGAAAACATTTGGGGATTATTTGAAAATTATTCTGAAAAACTGTTTGCTGTTTTTAAAGACAACATTTATTCTAACTCAGTAAAACACAAGCGGTCTATGAAGTCTTTCATGGTTCTGCAGATCAAACAGACTTAGAGGAAGTAAAGCAAAGTGAGGATGTTTCYTTTTAGATTCTATCTTGGGTGTTTATGCAATTTCACTTTTTTAGGAGATCTTAAATTTCCGAACAAGATTTTACCAGGTAGCCATCAATTTTCCCACTAGTCTTTGACAAATATAAAAAGCAAGGTCTCTAAATTACTTAAGCCATTCCCTATAGCACAAGCATCTGCCAAAAACTAAATAGAAGCTCCACCGCTTRCCTTGAACAAAGATCTTTCCTTAATCAAGTCTATCTATGCACTTGGCAATAGAAGTCCAAGGACCAAACGAGATAGTACAAGAACATCAATTGGTAGACTACCAGTAACAAAGAGACAACCTCCATTCATGATTCCCTTAAGCCTTGTCATGTGGGTAGAATTCCAAGCATAAAAAGAAGTATAAATATCTTCATATATACCAGATGCTCACTAATTAGTACCAAGTTTTTAAGCTCTCTGTAGCATAAACTACTAATACATTTTCTTTTATAAGACAAGGTTGCCACCAATTGCAACAGCATGCACTAAAATTTTCCCTTCAATAAAAATAGCCAAGTAGTGTCTCGTTTCACAATAATCCATATTTGCAGCAATAAAATAATTGTTTTCCTCCAAAAATGTAGTTATTGCCTACAATTGGGAAGTGCATTAGCATAAATATGATAGCAACAAGTAATACCATATATGTATGTACGTATGTGTACACACACATACACAAGCAACATCATCAGAGACTCTAATCCAGATTGAGGGAGTATCCCAATATTCTTAATGTAAAATAAGATTAATACGTGTATGCCAATAAAACTATAACTTATAGAATTAAAAAAACCCAAGTACCATGTCAATTCATTGATTGAAAAGAATTCTGAAAAGTCTACTCTAACTAACCTGCAATGTTTGCAAGAGATTGAGAAGCAGCACCAAGCATGGTACCAAAAGATTGACTAGGCTCTGCTCTCGATTACGTTCCAAGAGCAAATCTGATGTAGAATTGCATTCTGTACCCTCGTCAACGAGATAATCTGTCCAAAAATACCGTCAATCACAGAAAAACATGAGTATCATCAGGATAGAGCAGAATGCATAGTTTTTTGGAAGGTTATAATAAATTTCATTAACAAGGAACAAATACTTCTGTAAGAGAAGGATAACAATGGGCTTATGTCGTGCACCTATATACCATAATGGATAATAAACCGAGCTTTCATAGAGAGAAGAAAAAATATACAAGGACATACAAAAAGGCAGCCCGATAATAGGAAACCCTAGAGAAAGTGGCTCCAATCCAAAAGAATGACACCTAACTGAAAATTACAAAACACCTTAGAAACATACCTCACAAGGACGTAATCTAATAAGATCTAAAACATACTCCCTAAATCTCTCCACCTGCCTAAAAATTCTATTCTATCCCTCAAGTCAAGTGTCCCAGCTCTAGATTCTATTTCTCCCCATCATCAGTTCATGCCCCAACCCCCAGAAATTTGAAAATGGCACTTTGGAACCAAGGGACTCCCAGTAATGTGTGAAGGAAGCTCCCCAGCTTGCCATTGGCTTCKGCTCATTCCTGCTATCTCATCTCACTTGATGGTAATACTTATTATTTGCAGTCGACGAAACCACCTATCAATCTATCTTTCTATTTGAGGTGAGGGCAAACCAAAACCCGAAGTGTGAGATTCTGATGGTTAGCTTTTCAAAATAGATAAAATAGGCATAGGCATTCTGAGTTAGGAGGTGACAACAAGCTTCTTTATTTAATTTCAATATAGAATGTTGCATGCTTTGCCTCGCCTCTTCGAGGCTCTCATCATTTTTGTAACTAGCAGCTAAGTGACCCAAGTAGATTAACAAACTACTAATATTGTGGTTGAGAATATGCCACTAATTACTAGTTAATTCATAGAACACAATTTGGATCAAGATACCGAAAGAAAACTACTCTACAGAATATACGAAGAGGCCATCTCAATCTTCACAAGTTAGATGCACCAAAAAGGTAAAAGCCAACAGTTGTTATTCCTTTATAGGATTATATCACAGGGATTAACACCTCAAAAACTAAGGCCCATAGAACGACCATCACTTTTAGGGCACCTTCCCTGGTCTCCCTTATAAAATCAGAATATAAAAAGTTGAATTTTCTGAAGCCACATTATTACATGTGAATGATTTAAACAACTAACCATTATTGTTTGAGAACCTCTCCAGCATAAATCGACAGTCAACTAGTACTGCATAAATAATCGCTACTGCACCTTCATCATACAGGGCAGCAGCAACAGTCTACATCAAAAAAATAGTTAGGCTCTTGACAGACGATTCAGGCACAAGCTTAAACAAAAATTTTAAGAACAAAACAAAACAAAATTAGTATCATACTGAGTTTTCTGAAATATATGCCAAAATCTGGAATGCAGTAGTCAATTGTGCTATAGATGAGTCACGAAGGGTAACACCATCAAAAGTCTTTTCAGAAATGGTTTTACCAAGATTGTCCATGACATTAACATCAGAACCAGCAGGTTCTCCGGCATTGTCTAAATCTGTCAACTCCGACACTAAAGTATTTGCTAAATTTGAGTTAGCATCTCCCCCAGATGCTAATACAGCAGCATATCTTAAAAGACCAATAGCCCCACTCTTATGGTAAACAACACCAGCATCTATCCATTCCAACAATCGAGTGGGAGCATCTTTTCTATTTGACCCTGGAGTAGAACAATGTAAAGCCTTGTAAAGCTCCATGGCATGCACAATCCAAGAACCAAGTGAAGATGCAGTTGAGTCGGTTACAATGACTTCAAAGATCTCAGCAGCAGAGTGAGATATTGCAAGATTCAGAGGCAAAGCACCTGAATAACACCAAGTTCAAAAAAAACATTTCCATTTCCAAAAAAGGAAATAATAAAGTAGAAAGTAGAATACCAACAGAAAAAAAATACTGTCCAACGTAAATATAAAATTACCACTATTCTTGCTTCCTGGTTCTGGCTCTTTGACCAAACGTAAGGATTCAATTAAAATGACAATGGCCTGGAAAAACAATTGACAATTAAGTCACTCCTAAAGTATTCATAATCGTTTGGTTCAGAAAGAGCAGCAAGAGATCAAAAGTCAATCATAGGCTAATCAGTTTGGTGACTAGTATGTACAAAATTATTTTTAAGTGTTGGCCGAGAGATTAAAAGACTCACCCTTCTACTATTTTTTTTAACAAGATACGAAAATACAATGCATTAATCAAAAGAAGATAAATCATCAATCAGTGTTGGCAGATAATGAGGTTGTGGAAGAAGCTCATTTGGATGCTAAATCATCAATCAGTGTTGGCAGCTAATGAGGTTGTGGAAGAAGCTCATTTGGATGCATTTCATCAAATCAATCTCTTGGGCTACATAGTACGAAAGGAATCATCAAAAATCTTCATTGACAAGACATGGTCTTTTTGGCTTTTATAATCTCTTTATTATCAATATTGCTCCWAGGTGGGCCTCTTTTTATATTTCTTTTCTCTTTTTCTCTCTCTCCTTCGGGAGTTTGTATCCTTGAACTTTTTCTCCTTTTCATATATCAATGAAAAGTTGTTTCTGGTTAGAAAAAAAAACCTTCRTTGACAAGGAACAAACTTAAGATCAGTTTTTTTAAGATTTGCTTTTGACCAAGGTTTGGCCTTTTGTTTGCAGTGAGTTTGGATTTTCTTGTGTTTTCCACGTAAGATTGACGACTTGTTTCTCAAGAACTTTTGGGGAGGTCTTTTTAAAGCCAAGGCTTCTGTTTTATGGAATTGTGCCATAAGGGCCGTATTATGGCTCATTTGGAGAGAAGGAATAGTAGGCTTTTTGAAGATAAAAAGACCTTAGAGGACGCTTTTTGTTGCAATGTACAGCATATTACTTCGTGATGCACTATAAACCACAAGAAATTCTTTTGTAATTATAGCCTACAATTGATAGTTAGAAACTGGCAAGGCACCATTGTTTAGTTTCCAAGGGAAGGTGATCTCAACCCTCCACCCTTAGGTTGTCACCCCCTTTTGG